ATTTAATGCCTTCTTAGCACAGGGTTTCACATGAATTTTGCGATTTAAAAACATAAAATTTTCCACTTAAAGTTTTCCATGATTAAAAAAATAAAAATTATGCTTTTAGACCTGTGAACCTCAAATAGATTTTTTTTTGTTTTTTTGAGACAGGGTTTCTCTGTATTGCTTTGGAGCCTGTCCTGGAACTCACTCTGTAGACCAAAGTGGTCTCTAAATCACAGAGATCTGCCTGCCTCTGCCTCCCGAGTGCTAGGATTAAAGGCATGGGCCACCAACGCCTGGCTCAAATAGAATTTTAGAAAAAAAAAACAGATGGGAAAAGTTTTGCAATTCTTCCTATTCACAGACTGAGTGATGGTGCATGCAAGTGTTTCTGTGTATCAGCTTTTCACAGATCTCTGTGAGTTCGAGGTCAGCCTGGTCTACAGAGTGAGTTCCAGGACAGGCTCCAAATCTATACTGAGAAACCCTGTATTGAAAGGCAAAAAAAAATTTAGACTCTTTCTGAATTCCCCTTCCTGGGAAGGAGAGCATAAAGCTGAAAACTCTAATACAATTCTTCATTATTGTTTGTTAAGATTTATTTTCTCTTTCATTATGTGTCTCTGTGTGGATGTGGATTGTGGTGTATATACATATGTAAGTGCCTGCAGAGTTCAGAAGATGGGGTAAGATATCCAGGAGCTGGAATTACAGGCAGTTGTGAACTGTATAAACATGGGTACTGTGAAGTGGACTGAAGTCCTCTAGAAGACCAGCAGGTACTCGTAACCACTGAGCCATTTTTCCAACCCCTTTATATCTATTTTTATGTTAAAAAATTGTGAGGGTACTGGAGAAATGGCTTAGCAGTTAAGAATGATAGCTTACCTTGTAGATAACCTGAGTTCAGTTCCCAGCATCCACATGATGGCTCATAACCATTTATAACTCTAGTTCTGGAGGATATGGCTCCCTCTTCTGGTCTCTGTGGGCATATACAAGTTATATATGCATACATGCATGTAAAACATTCAGACACATAAAATGAAAAAAAGTGAGAATAAAAGTTGTGAAAGGGAATGATTCAAGTTTAAATACGGTATTTATCAGTTGTATTGACTCTTTTTTATATAACGTTCTGTTGATTTCATTGTTAATTTTGTGTATTGCTTGCTTGTTTTTAAGACAGGATCTTACTATGTAGTTTGAGCTCATCTGGAACTTGACATGAAGCCCAGTCTAGTCTCAAACTGTAGATCTCCTGTGTCAGCTCCCTGGGTGCTAGAATTACAGGCATGAGCCACAACACCTAGTTTGGGAAACGTTATTCTTTTTAAAAGAGTTAGTAATAACTGATCATTTTATAGGAATTACTGATATCATGAAGTTTTTCCAGAGAGTTTTTTTTCTATTTGGTAGTGACAAAGAGGTTGTTTTCTAAACTGTTACATCAATTTATGGTTATAGATCCTAAAAGTATAAATTTTTATGTAATAGTATAGATGCATTATAGTTTCTAAATGGTTACTATTTATGATAGAAAGTACATTTGCAAACATTATTTAAGATAATGAATTTTTGTGCCCTGCTCTACTTAGTAAAAATCCTCTATATAAAAACTCCATGAAATTTTTAAAAATTATTTGTAAATTATCTCCATATTTACATGAGTAATTTTTCACTTTTATCTAGGTGTATGCTATTCAGGTATGCAAGTGTGTGGGTGCATGTGGCAGCCAGATGTTGAAACTTGAATGCCTTTCTCAATCATTTCGTGTGTGTGTGTGTGTGTGTGTTTGTGTGTGTGTGTTGCCTGCATGTATGTATGCACCACACAGTTGTCTCTTGCTCTCAAAAGCAATAAGAGGACATTGGATTCTCTAGGAACAGAGGTATAGATGGTTATGAGGCACCATGTGAGTGCTTGCAATTGAACCCAGGTCCTCTGGAAGAGCAACCGACGTTCTTAACCACCGAGTAATCTCTTGAGTCCCTCCAATTTTTTTAAGACAGGATCTCTTTGTGTCTGGATCTCATCATTTCAACGAGAATGAATGTCCTAGGAGTCCCAAGGAACTGCTTGCCTCTGCCCTCAGTGCTGTGGATAGGGGCATACAACATCACACCTGACTTTATTGTGAGGGGGGGATTAAAACTCAGGGCCTCATGATTGGCATGGCAGGCATTTTAACCACTGAGCCTGTCTCCCCAGAACAAAGCTATTTTTCCATCTTTGATCTTTTGTCTCTTTTTATAAAAAAATATATTTAGGAACATTATTGACCATATTTTATACAAATATCTTAATACTTGTTTTAAAGATGACAGATTATAATTTTAAGAGTATTTTTTACTTATTTTAAAGCTTGAGTTATAAGACTGTACTTTCAGGATCATTTCTATAGTTAAATTTGATTTTTAACCACAGTTTAGAAGCTTACTAATATTTCCGTTGGACAGTATTTTTAATTTAGAAGTATTTCCTTTCTATTAAGTAAGGTATTTGTTTGTACTTAAAGTGTGTCCTTGACTTTTTTCTCCTGGGTTCATTATTATTGGGCCTCAATTTAAAAAATAACTTCAATTAGGAAAACAGAACTAAATATATAGGACCACAATTTTTCAGGTTTCAGAGTTTTGTGTATTCTAGTCTATTTGCATTGATTTGCTGGTTGTACATCCCTGCTCTGAAAATGCAAAATTCTAAGTACTCCAAAATATGAAACTTTTTGTGCTCCACATTGGTGATACATTTCATTTTAAGTGTTATTGGTATTGTTTAGTAATCTTTAGCCATATTCATATATTCTTGAATATTTAGGAACACTTAAAGTTACTTTAACATTAACCTTTATTTTCAATATAGATGAGATTAACAGTTCTCTTCTTAAAAAGAGAAGAAGAGTGCATATGTTCTCCAAAACTATTTCTGAAGAGAGTAGCAACAAAATGAAGCAAGTTTGGAAAACCAAAGAAGAGCAAATGTAAGTTTGCTGGTTATTTTAGAGTCAAGTTTATATCATTTTTGAGTATATATTGGTACGAATTACTTATGAGAATAGTATCCCCTGTCTATTGAAATTTCTAGTAAAAATGTTTCACTTGAATTTTCTCTAAGCAAGTAGTACTATAATCCCATATCTTCATAGAAGTCAGTGATGATTACAGGTTCCTCCTTCCAAATAAAAATTGAGAGAGTTATTATATTAAAAGTAATTCATGCTACTCTGGAAATATATTGAGTAAATTGTAGGTACCATATAAACTATCACATGTCTTTTAGTTAACTGTGTGAACAATGTAGAAAATAGTTCATTTTATATAAAAACTAATTTGTATATTTTAACTGACCTAACTATTCTTCCATACTGAATCTTGGCTGTGCCAGAAGGGCTTAGTGAAATGTTCCTACTAAAAATAATTTAGTTTTTTTTTGAGACAGGGTTTCTCTGTGTATCCCTGACTGTCTTAGCGCTTGCTCTGTAGACCAGGCTAACCTTGAACTCACCAAGATCTTCCTGCCTCTGCCTCCGGAGTGCTGGGATTAAAGGTGTGCAGCACCACTACCAAGCTGAAATAATTTACTTTTTTTATTGGAACCTTTAGAAAACATGAAAAATTACTTGGAGATGAAATTAATCTTCCTGAGAAATGTGTTTGTGTATATATATGTATATATGCATATGTGTGTTTATTTATCAGTGATATATATATGTATATTTATGTTACATATTTATGATAAAATTTCCTTGGATTTCAAGAGGGAAACCACATGAGAACACTTTTAGTAAGGAGAAGAAGTACTTCGAGAATCTATATAAATCTAACTTTTTTTTCTTAGGTTCCCATCAGAATATTTAAAATATTATGGTTTCCTTCTTTTTCATGCTGTTCAATATGTGAATTCCAATTTGTTTTGATTATTTTCCTATTTGTATAAAATGTGAGCCATTATTCTTATGTTTTATAGGCTGCAAGTTAACAATAAGTATTACCAGCAGTTTATGGATCTGTTTAATCAGTGGGATTTGGAGAAGCAGAAATATGAAAAACAGCAAAAAAACCTAATGGTTGGTACCACAGTTAGATTTATAATTAATCTCTTATAATAATATTTGAAGTAGGAATCTAGATGCTTGCCTTAGATTAGATCAGTGGAACTAAACCAAGGTGCACTACCAATTGTTGCCCGTGTTCTTGTTCTGCAGAACAATGAACCACTGAAGTGTAGGAAAATATACTGACAAAATCCACTGGGCTTCTTATATTAGTTGGGATTCCTATAATTTTAAACAGAAGAAATTTTTTAAAGAATAAAGGTGGTTTAATTCTTGCTGTGAAATAAATCATGGGTAAGTTAGTTTTAGATTCAGTTGAATGGGAAACTGGAAGTATTTTAGGTAGTATCTTTTTAGATGTTGTTGCAAGTTCTTATTGGGGGTATTATGTTAATTCTTTCTATCCTATGATTAGTACAACTTGAGAAACTGTTTCACTACTGCTGGTGGCAAATTCCTATAGAACAACATCACCGAGTATTTGTGATCATTTGCCCATTCCTGAACAAAACACACTGTACTAGGAATATGGTTTGGTTTAGATTTTCTTTCCTCCCTCCATCCCCCTTCCCCTCCCTGCTTCCCCCTCCCCTCCCTCCATTCCTCCTCTCTCCCTCCCTTTCTCCCCCTCTCTCTATCCTTTCCTTCCCTCCCTCCTTTATTTACATGCTTTTTCTCTTTTCCTCCTCTCCCCCATACCCCTGCCTTCCACCCCTCTCTTTGTATTGTGACTTGAAACTGAAGCCAGGGCCATTTACACACTTGTAAAGCACACCATGGTCAAACCACAGCACCAGTCCAGAAAATGGTTTACTTTTAATGTCCAGAGCTGTAATACAACTCAAGTCCCACTCACATATTTTATATAGCTGCATTAGTTACTCTTTATCTTTTCTTCTTTCATTGCTTATAATCATCAAAAATGTAAACATAAAATCTGGGGGAGCCGGGCGGTGGTGGCGCACGCCTTTAATCCCAGCACTCGGGAGGCAGAGGCAGTCGGATTTCTGTGAGTTCGAGGCCAGGCTGGACCGACAGCCTCCAGAACAATACAGAGAATCCCTGTCTCGTAAAACCAAATAAATAAATAAATAAATAAAATCTGGGGGAACTGGTCCTATCAAGTTATTTTGGAGTTGGTAGGTCAGCTCAGTTTTTGATATGTTCAATTTGAAGCACACAGTTTTTTTTTAGCAAGATGTTTAATAGGCCACTGGTATATGAGTCTGGGATTCAGGAGGGAACTCTGAACTAAATATACAAAGTAGAAAATTCTCAGCTTAAATTCAGTTTTTAAACCATAAACCTGGATGAAATTATCAAGGGAGTAATTAAAAATGAAAATGGGAAGTATGAGGATAGGCCACTAGAGGCCTAGTTTGGTAGAAAGTAAACTAACCCAAGTGAAGGAGGTATTTGTAAAGAAAAGATCATTAACTGTGCCATACACTGCTTAGAGACCAAGTAAGCTCAATTTAACAACAAGAAGTCACTGGTGTATTGGAATAGTGAATACAATACTGATTAGAAACAGGTGTGGTGGGGAACAACTTTAGTTCCAACCCTTGCAAGTCCAAGGCAGGTAGATTGTTAAGTTTGGCGTTAGCCTTGTCTACATAATGTGATCCAGACAAGACAGTAAGACTGTCTGAAAAAAAAAACGAATTAGAATGGGTACAAGACAGAACAGGAAACAAAGGACTGGGTAGTTACAAATTGAAATAGAGATCTGTAGAATTCGGTTGGTTTTTGGTTTTTAGGTTTTTTTTTTTTTGGTTTGGCTTTTGAGCTAAGCGAAATAACGTGTTTATGCGTTAATAGGAATAATTGGGTTTTTTTGAGAGAGAGAGAGGGTTTCTCTGTGCAGCTTTGGAGCCTGTCCTAGAACTCTCTCTGTACAACAGAACTGGCCTTGAACTCAGTGAGATCCACCTGCCTCTGCCTCCTGAGTGAGTGCTGGGATTAAAGGCATGTGCCACTACTGACAAGCTATCTTTTTGTTTGGTTTATTAGGTTTTCAAGACAGGGTTTCTCTGTGTAACAGCCCTGGCTATCCTGGAACTAGTTCTATAAACCAGGCTGGAGTTGAACTCACAGAGATTCACCTGCCTCTGCCTCCAGAGTGCTAGGCATCTACCACCACTGCCCAGTAATAGAAATAATCTTTAGGACAAATTAATTATTTACTTTTTGTGGCCCTGTGGGCCTGATATTCGAGCCTAGGGTTTCATCCATGGTAGCAAATGCCTCTTAGCAGTAAGCTATACCCCTAGACGTTTCTTACTGTTCTTTTTGAGACAGGATTTCATTACATTTCCCAGGCTGGCCTATAGTTCAAGCAAGCATGCCTTGACCTTGTTGTGATCCTCATGCTTCATCATCCCAAGTAGCAGACTGAAGTCAACTGGCCTAGATAGAGAGTCAAATTACAAATAAAAGCAGAGGAGGTAAAAGGTGAATCCTTGAGAATGATGGGCATGTGGGACAGAACGTGGCAAAGAGAAAGTGTGCTGTACCCTGAGAAGCGAGAGCACTAACAAGCATAGGTTGGTAAAGACAGACTCAGTTTTCTCTTGATATTGCTTCTGTATGCTTGGTGGCCGGGTGGTAAAAACATTACAACCAGGTAGACTGACTAGCTGGAGTTGAATTTTCTAAACTTGCAGCGTACAAAAGCAAAAGTGAGAGAGTTAAACTTAATTATATTGGAGACATGAGGTTTCAAAGAATACACTAGTACGTGGATATGAAGATTTTCGACTTGTTCTCATGTGGTTGTGTATGCTGGTAATATCAGATACTTGGGAGGCTGAGGAAGAAGCACAAGTCCCAGCCAGCATGTGCCACATAGAGTAACCCTGTCTCAACAAGTTAAATAGTACAATGACTGGGAGGATCATTATATTGCATATTAATTATTTTTAAAATTACTTGAACTTAGACATAATTTTGTCAAAGTAAAATGTTAAATATCTTCATTTTAACATTATTCCTTTTGACTTCAGTTTGGGATTATTCTTAATTATTCTTTTGCTTTAAGGATGGGAATGTGGCCCACAGATACGGTGTTTAATTATATGAAGCCTAGAAGAATAACACAAGTATTTTCCAAAAATATTATTATATAAACTTTCTTTTATACTTGTAGAAGATTTTCCAACAACAGCAAATGATGCTAAGAAATTGTAAAATTAAACAGAACCAGAGAGTGAAACTAATTTTACAGAAGGTTACACAATACATAGAGGTATGTTGTACCCAGAAGCATAACACCTTAGAAAATGTGTAATGTTTTTTCGCAAGTTGATTAGAGAAACATTTTAATATGTAGTTTTAACTGCTTTTCAGTTTGAACTGCTATGAACAAAAGTGTTTCATAGAGCTGTAGATTTCTAATTGTTTTGTGATGATTATTCAAGGTGGGAAATGTCAAATTAGTAATTTTACCTAGCAATGTACTTATCATGCATCACAGTCATAACTGATTAACACTTGAGTTATCATTTTCTGTTTATCTGAGATCAAGTCTCTATCATTTCTACATTATCTTCTGTATTTGTATCCCCAGTGTTTGTTGAGTATGAAATAGTAAATTGAAATTATGAACTTTCTGTTTTCAAATATATTGTGTAAGTATTTTCTGACATATTCAGTTCCAGAACTGTTACACTGACCAAAAATGACTACATATGCAACTTTATAATCACTAGAGATAACCAATAAAGGACTAGACAGTTGAGATTTTTAGATTGAGAGTTGTCTATTTATACATAAGCATATTACTAAATGTGGGTCTATATATTAAATAGTTTTAAAGGATTTTAAAATGTATGTTTTAAATTTTTTAGAATACCTTTCATGAAAACAAAAGTTATTTTAAGCATTTTCAGGCAGAAAACTTATCAGTTTGCTTTAATGTTCCCTAAGAATATTTTTTGATTGGCACCAATGTTTGATAAAGCACTAACCAACCTTTCACCTAAATAGTATCATCAATAATTGTTCCCCTTTACCATTAGGAACATTAGTGTAATGTTTAACTCTTCCATATCTTTTAGGTTCTCAAACTGAGCTATTCTAGATTCAGTATTTTGCTCTGTGCAGTGGGTTATTATTTCATCAAGTCTTACTTATCACTATTAACCGTAGTTCATTCTTTGTACTATTAAGCCTTATCATCTTTGTTTATGTTTTTCCTCACTGGAGAAAAAAAACAATTTTCTATTATCATTACTAAACTTTCTTCACAGCACTTAATGTAGTATTTTGGGGGACATGAGGAAGTGAAACAATAGTTCATTAAGTGGATATTAAAGGTTTAAAATTTATTTCTCCTCGCTGCATGTGATGGCACATGCCAATAATGCTAGTATTAAGGAGGCCAGGGTAGGAGGATATCAAGTTTGAGGCTTGACTGAGCTATATAGTGAGACCCTACCTTAAAAAACCTGTTGCACATACATGAAGTTTTCAAATGTAAAAAACCATGAATTGATAAAACATGATATTTTGAGATAGGTCTCACTATATAGCCTTATCAGGCCTGGAGTTTGCTGTATACAGCAGGTAAGCCTTAAACTCACAGATATTCACCTGCCTTGGCCTTCCAAGGGTGTACACCACTATATATAGATTAAAATTATAATTTTTAATTTACATAAAATTTAAAAGATCTGCAAAGTACAGATGATTTTCATGTCACATTTACCACTAGTTCCAGTAAAATGTAACCTGACATTTGGAAACATATTAGAAAATTTCAAAATTGTCTTACTGATAGAACCTTGTAGTCTTTATTCATGTATCTTTTTTCTTTGCTTTGAGACAAGTTCTTACTGTGTTGCTTAGGCTTACTTCTAGATCTCTATTCTCCTTCTTGACCCTCCAGAATGCCTAGGCATCATGTAAAACTATGCACAACATTTTTTTTTGTTGTGTGCTTTTGCCCCATCTTGAAATTAACAGTTCATTAAACCATTACTTGGGCAAAGTGTGCTAATTTTGTCTTTTTAACAACAATTGTCTCATGTCTGACTATTTTACTTCATTATATAATATCATTATTCATGTATTCTTTGCAATGTTTTTGAAAATTGAAATAAATAATAACTGTTATTTGAGTATTAATCAGTTCTCACTTATAATCTAAGATGAAACATTGTCGATTATATAACTGAACTTGTTTTTTGTGTTTTAGATTTTGAAGAACATGGAGGGTAAGAATAATAATGTACATACTGCTTCATTCATTGAACTTAAGAAAGAAATAGCTGAGTATCAAAAGAAATACATGATAGAAACTGTAAGTTATATTTTAAGCTGGAAATTACATAATTTAGCAGAAATACTGAATTATTTTATTGACTAAAATATGCACAATTAAAATTCATCATATTTTTTCTCCTTCTTTGAGACAGCAGCAGCAAGAGATTGCAAATATTCGAAAGTCTCTTCAATCCATACTATTTTGATGATTCTTTGATGAAACCTTGAACCTGTCTGGAGCAATTTAATTCTAATGTTTATAAAAGCATGTTTTATGGTAGAAATTCAGGTTTAAATAAAATGAAAATAAGCAAATGACTAGCACCTGTTCTGATGTATTAGGGCTTTAGCTCTTTTGTTGTTAGTGAGATTTTTTTTCTCCAAAAATGTGAATTAACTTTTGTGAATAAAAGTAGTTGGTTTTTTTCCTTTTAGCATCAGCATATTGCTTTGTTTTATTTTTTGCGGTAGGATCTCACCATGTGACCCATTTCTGGTCTCAAGTGATCCTCACACCTCAGCCTCCAACGTACCCATGATTTTTAATCTTTGATTTGCTGAGATTTGTATATTACTTATGTATATTTACTATATGTATAGTACTTACTCAAAATTGAATATGTTTATTGCTTCCTCATGAAAAGGTAGCAGCAAAAGACAGCAAATTCCCAAAAGCTTTTTAAATCTATATTATTGTACTGTCCAAATAAAACATAAAAATGCATGTGGCGGGCAGCCATTCCTCTGTAGCAAGGTTTCAACTATTATTGTAATAGTGCATTTTTTCTCTAACACTCTCAAATAATTTTATCAATAAGGATTATTTGAATTTAAGTTTTGGCTTTAGCATATTTTTATCACTCATAAAATGTACAAAAATACTGTTATGGAATGTTAAATTGGATAATGTATTATAGGTTTTTCTGTCTTGTTTTTAAGATATATTCTAAGCATGTTTCCCAAACCAGTCTTGAACTCCAGGGATCAAGTGATCTTCATATCTCATCCTTCTAGATGACTTGTACTATAGGTGTGTGCCATAACACGGGGCTTCTTTTTATCTTGAAGGAAAATAGTCAGGAGCCCCATGTTATATATATATCCACTTCTTTGTGCTTAGTAAAATATAAAGCCAATTTGAGGGAAATAAAATATTCTATGATTTGTAAAATTTACTAACAAGAAGAAGGAAAATCCCTTAAATTGTGAGTAAGAATAACTTAAAATGCCATGTGTGCCTGCACACTGCCATACTCCCTGCCACGATGGTAACGGACTGAGCCTCTGAAACTGCAAGCAAGCCCCAATTGCTTTTCTTTGTAAGAGTTGCATGGATCTCCCTGAGACAAGAGGGATCTGGTTGGGAGTATGTGGAAGAAGAGATTGCATGGAGAGACAGCTGGAATTAGGGGGCATTGTGAAAAAACCTAGTGCAGTGGAAACTTCCTGAAATCTATGAGGGAGACCCTAGTTAGGACTCCTAGTAAGGGAGGATAAAGAGTCTGAACTGGACATCTTTGGTAGCCAGGAAAGGCTTCCAGTGAGGACCTGTGTAAAGAGAAACCCTTCCGGCCATCCTGGTTCCAGAGCCGCATCAGTCCCAATAACACACAGGAGGCTATATTAATTATGAAGCTGTTGGCCTTGCTTGTTTCTTACTGGCTAGCTCTGACTTAAGTATTTATCCAATAATTGTTAATCTAAGTATTTCTCTTACCGGAGAAATTTCCGGGTGTCCTACCCCATGGTGGTTACATCTTGACTCCCTGTGTTTCTCCTACCCAGAGTCCTACTGGACTCCTAGTCCCACCTATCTTTCTTCCCTATTGGCCAACAGTGTTTTATTGACATATACACAGGACTTCCCCCAACAGACCTGAGTGTTGAATTCAGTCAAGACTTTTGTCTGAGGGGTTCTGTGGAGATCCCCAAACAACCCAGGCTCATGTTAGGACTGATGATTGCCCTCCAGAAACTGACAGCAGAGCATCAGGGGCATTGCTGAGGACAGCATCCACACAGATCATTAAATGTGGAGAGGTTGAGCTGGTGTCTGCATGGAGCCTTCACCCCTATGGTCTAGTCTCTGGTGTGGGAAGGTACTCTTCAAGCCACAAACTCTTCTACCTACAATCTGCCTGCAAGATATACAGGAGCAGGGTGGTGGTGGTGCTGGTGGTGCCGGTGGTGGCATAGAAATTGTGGGAATAGACAACCAATGTCTGATTTAACTTGAGGTCCACATCACAAGAAGGAGTCCATACCTAACAATGTCTGGATAGCCCAAAGACCTAGGGTAGAACCAAGCATGACAGGCAAAATAAATATATAAACAAACTAACAAATAAATAAAAATCAATGAAATTATTCCTAATGATAGTCTGCTATAGTCATAGATTGGTCCCTTGTCAAGTTGTCATTAGAGAGACTTCCTCCAGCACCAGATGGTAGCTGATGTAGAAACACAGAGCCATATATATGGAGTCTAAATTGGAGGGCTCCCTTCAGTCTCTCCCCTGGAGCTCAGGAAACCCTGTGGAAAAGGGCGAGGAAAGAGCCAGAGTCAGAAGGGATGGAGGACACCAGGAGAACATGGCCCACTGAATAACTATGCTGGGCTCACATGGGCTCACAGAGACTGAAGTGATAAGCACGGGACTTGCATGGGCCTGCAGGAGGTCTTTTGTGTACATGTAACGGCTGTTAGCTTGGTGTTTTGTGGGATTCCTAACAGCAGGAGCAGGTGTGTCTCAGACTCTTTTGTCTGCTCTTGGGACACCTCAGCCTTGATGATGGCTTTTGCCTTGTCTTACTGTGTCTTGTTTTGTCATATTTTGTTGTTGTATCTTGGAGGCCTGCACCTTTCTGAATGGAAATGGATGGAGGTTAGGTCTGTGTCAAAGGGGAGGTTGTGGGGAGCTAAGACGCCTGGAGGGAAAGGAAACTTGTCGGGATGTATTATATGAGTGATGAATCTACTTTCAATTTTTAATAACAAAAGTCTTTAGACTATTTCTGCACTTCTGGAGCCAGTACATTTTATCACTGTTTTGATTATCCTTCACCATGTTCTGAGATGCTAGAAGTTAATTTTATCATGGAGCCCATTCTTTTCTCTTGACAATTTATCCATAAATGGTAGGAGCAACTGACCAACATCACAATTTTCCTATTTTTCCACAACTTATCAAAAATTTTATACAGAGTCACCAAATCTATTTCTTCTCACAATTGATGAATCAGAATAATCAAATGCATTGGTCTCCATAAGTTTGTAAAATAGTTCACACTATGCGCTTTCATCGCTCTCTGAGCTTCCAGGAGAGGTGTCAGTACCTGAAGAGACTTCAGTAACTATAGGTGTTGGCAAACTAAAAAGCCTATTCCAGATACTTGCAAAATTCATCCTTCTATTTCTATGGTTCTAGAAGTTTTTCTGGTACCAAAATCTGTATGTGTAGGGAGAGATCTTAGTGTTGGGCGTGGTCAGAGGTATGTAGAAGATATGGGGAATAAAGTGCTGAGAGGAAGGGGACTTGCTGTCTCTTGGGGTTCCAATTGGGTCTCAGAGACCAGTGGAGCACTGACGATGGGTTCTAGGCTTCTCATGTAAGTGACTTCTCTCCAATAAGACATCATATGGCATCCCTATCCTGTGTAGGTTAATCTTCCTCGATATCTGGTATTTATCTCGGATTTATTAGAATGGCTTACAGGCTGTGACCCAGCTAGTCCATCAATGGTTTTTCATCAATGAAAGATCCAAGAAGCCAGAGGTTGTTCAGTCCATGATGCAGGATGTCTTGGCTGATCTTCAGTATGTGCTGGAATCTCAAAGAAGTGGTCGCTAATGCTAGTGAAGGAATGAACTTGCTGGCAAGAGCAACCTGGCAAAGAAAAAGAGCAAGCATCCTTTTTCATATTCTTCATATAGGCTGCCAGCAGAAGGTGTAGTCTAGGTTAAAGGAAGATATTCCTACCTCCAAAGATCTAGATTAAAGTTGTAGTTTCCCACCTCAAAGATCCAGATTATTAGTGGGTCTTTTAGGATGGTTTAATTAATAAAAGTTCCCTCACAGGTGTGCCAAACATTTGGGTTTTAGTTAATTCCAGATGTAATCAAGTTGTCCAAGAAAGCAATGGTCTTCCCAAGCACAATTAAGATGGATAGTGAATCAGGATGAAGGGACTAGGGTTCTACACTCTTAGGCTTCCAACATCCCTTGGTTACTGCAACACTAGGCTGTCACCCAGTTAAGTTTTAGGTAGATACTGGGGAAGAGCTGTTTTCATTGGTAATTGGACTTAATAGGTTTTTAAAAACCTGGTGGTCATATAAGTACCGCGCGCTAACCGATTGCGCCACTGGGACTGATCAAGACCCCCTGAATCTGGGTGTCAATGAGGAGGCCTAGGGAATCTATTGAGCCTTGGGCAGCAGATCAGTACCCATCCCAAGTATACACACGGACTTTGGACTCCCATAGAACAATGTGAGGTGCACTCTCACCCCCCTGAACTCTTGGGGAAGGGTCTAGGCCCTGCCCTATATGAAATGACAGACTATGGACACCCCCATGGAAGGCCTCACCCTCCCTGGGGGAATGAGGGGATAACGGGGGGGGGGGTTGGGGGGAGGGCACGGGAAGAGGGGAGGGAATGGGAGAGGGACCTGGAACTGACTTGTGAAGCAACCTTGTTTCTTATCTAAATTTAAACTGGAAAATAAAAAAAAAAACCTGGTGGTCTGGCAGCAGGTGACTGAGAAAAGTGTAAGGATTTAAAACATTAGGATGAATGATTTCAGCCTATCTATTTACCTCCCAGAGATCCTGAACTGTCTAATAATTTAAAGTTCCTGGTTTATGGACATGAAGGAAATGGTGTCCATATTCCAGGCTTCCTGGGATATGGATGTTAGTGTCTAACAGCCACTTGATACAGGGAACAATCCCAAGTCTGGCCTTTTGGCTCATGGAATAGTGCTGAACCCTTATAGGTGTGGCTGTAGTCAAGAGATTCATCACAAGTGATGTGTGGTGCAATTCCAAACATGGATGATTTGTCTCCACCCATACCTTAATAAACTCTTGTTCCAAGTACTGGATCATGCTTGTTTCTGCTTTGCAGTCTGGAAGTGTTAGGAAATACTCTTCAAAGAGGGAGTAATTTAGCTTTTTGGCAGGCAAGTGCAAAGGAAAGTTTCATTTCTTGAGGAGAAAAGTGTGGGACACCAGACCTTGGGCAGAGACCCACTTCCCCATCAGCCTGGGAGTAGGCAGTGGTAAGACAATGTTTACTAAAAACATGTTTACTAAAAACAATACAATGCCCAGGGCAATAAGTTCCTGAAAAGGGCTGGCCCACGGGAACTGCCCTGACCTCGACCTTTTCCAAAGACTAACTGCCTCTTCTGACACACCCAAGTCAGTTT